TCTGGGCCTGCTGAGTTTTTGTTGGGGCAGAAATAGGCGAGGCGGGGTCTGCCCTGGAGGAGGTGACACTTCATGCTTTCCTGTTGTCCTCCCCAGGAGCAGCAGCCAAGCTGGACGGACGACCTGCCGCTCTGCCACCTCTCTGGGGTGGGCTCAGCCTCCAACCGTAGCTACTCTGCCGATGGCAAGGGCACTGAGAGCCACCCGCTGGAGGACAACTGGCTCAAGTTCAGGTGAGGTGCCAGGAGCATTCTTCCGGGCACTGGAAGTAGTTTTGCACCTCTCTCACGTGGGGCTTGCCAGTGGGGTGTTGCCCATGGCAGGTGGCGTCTGCCGCTATCCCTTCCATGTCCAGACCTCAGACCAGCTGAGGGCCTGCCACAGTGGGACAGGGAGCATCCCTGAAGGTCATGGCCAGAGTAGAATGATGGCAGAAATGGGGGGACCCAGGTGGACACCTGATGCCACAGCTGTTGTATCTTTGGTCTCCCCCAGTTCCTTGCCCTCCTCCCTCTCCACTCTATAACTGGCATCACTTCTGTGAGCCCTTGGTCTCAGGTCAGCTCCTGCCTCTCTCTCTGCCAGGAGTGAGAACAATTGCTTCCTGTATGGGGTCTTCAACGGCTACGATGGCAACCGGGTGACCAACTTCGTGGCCCAGCGGCTGTCTGCGGAGCTCCTGCTGGGCCAGCTTAACGCCGAGCACGTGGAGGCCGACGTGCGGCGTGTGCTGCTGCAGGTACTGGTGCTCGGGCAGCCGACGGCAACCCGGGTGGACTGTGTCCCCCAGGAACTTGGCCCTGCGACTGTGCAGGGCGGGCTTGGCCAGGGCTGGCCTTAAGACCCTGCCAGCTCATTTCTGTCCTGCAGAGAACCCACCTCTGGGAGCCTCTCCGAGCAGCAGGGGCACCCCACTTCCGGAGAGTCTAAGAGCTGGCAGCTAGCAGCGGTCCTTCCCACCCCTGGCAGGGTTGGTTTTTGGGGAGGTGGTCCTGGGGAACAGGGAAGTAGGGACGGACCCTTGGACAAAGGGGTGGAGTAGGGGCTGATTTAGGGTGACTTGAGATGGTCCCTTTCCTTCGGGCGTGGCTCAGGTGCTCGGCCTCTAGTCGCCGCCAGCATCCCGGCCTCACCACCTCTCTTTGTCCAGTGGCCTTTGCCAGCTCCGTGCTTCTGCTTGCTGCTCTTTTGGAGGCTTCTTCCCGGCATCTCCTTTTGGAAGTACATCTAGGGTCACTTAGTTTGGATGAGGAGGATGGACTCCTGTTCCTCGACAGTAGTGTTCCCAACTGTCCTCCTGCCTCAGCGCCTGCGGGCCTGAGCACCCTCCCGGCCTTGGGGCTCTGGGCCAGGGATTCTCAGCCTGGCCCCCCGGGAAAGGCAGCAGCGTGAGCAGTGTCCATGGGCCAGCAGGATATAGTAATGACACCAGTGGTCATTGATCTAGACTTGCGCTGAGCCAGGTGCTGAGTGCTCAGTCGCCCTCAGAACAACACTTATCTCTGTTCATAGATGAGGAGACCGAGACTGCCAGCTGGCAAGTGGCAGAGCTGGAATTCATCCCCAGGTGGCCTGGTTCCAAACCTGTGCTCTTAACCTCTGCGCTCTTAACCTTAGCCTCTCTGGTCCCTGCAGTGCCGTCACATGAGGACCTGCACGTAATACGATTTGTTGCTATTCCTCGGGGGTGTTTCAGCATCAGGTGGCAGTGGTGTTTTGAATTGGCCTTTGCCCTGACACCTGTTCCTCTCTGTCCTCTTTGTGCCTCCAGGCCTTCGATGTGGTGGAAAGGAGCTTCTTGGAGTCCATCGACGATGCTCTGGCTGAGAAGGCGAGCCTCCAGTCCCAGCTGCCAGAGGTAACCTCTCCAGCCTGCTTCCCGGGAGAAGCTCGTCAAGGCCAGCTTTGCTAGGAACGAGGACTCGTCTGCCATGTCACTCCCAGGCCAGAGCAGCAGGAGTTAGGGAGACAGTCCCTGACTATGAGTTTACCCTCCAAGGGGCCTCCCTAGCCTGCTCTCAGCAGCCTTCGGCTCATCATGGGGTGGGTGGTGAGGGGTATGAGGTAAAGCCCTTCCAGGTCAGTCTTCGAATCTGTCCGCAGCCTTGTCACCTACCCACCCACATCACCTACCAGCATTTTCAGAGCCGACAGGACAAGTTAGGTTACCGCTAACCTTCCTGGAATAGCCTGCTTAGAGCTGCAGTGCAGCTTTTGGCCTGCTCTGACCCCCAGTGATGGCTTGTAGGGTGTCCCCCAGCACCAGCTGCCTCCTCAGTATCAGAAGATCCTCGAAAGACTCAAGGTGTTGGAAAGGGAGATTTCAGGAGGGGCCATGGCCGTCGTGGCGGTCCTTCTCAACAACAAGCTCTACGTCGCCAACGTAGGTGAGCCACCTGTTCGTCTCAGGGTGGGGAGGGCTGGGAGAGGTCAGCTTTGGGGATCTGGGAGTCTTTTGGGCAACCTGCTGTCCAAACACGTAGGACCCGCAGCCCAAGTCTTCCGAGGCCATCGGACAGGTTTCTGTTACCCCACGGGCGTCTCGGTCCCAGTGTGGAGTTAGAAGTACTGGCCGGGAGGTACGCGCCGTGGCCTTAGTTCCCGTGTCGCCCCCTGACTGGCTTGTGGCCCTGGGGGAGTTTTGTCCTCTATCCGTGTCACTTTAGTGGCTGCTGCTTCTGAAAGATGATGCCAGCTGCGGAAGACCCACTCAGCATCCCATGAAGGGTGATAAGATGGCTGGGTGTGGGCCAGAGGATGAGGGGCCACGGGGACATTTTCGTGGGATTTGTGGGCAAGAGGGAACCATCTGGGAGCCTGAGAAGGCCGTGTCCCCGATGTGCAGATTACTGCAGGAGCTCTGCAGAGACCCCACTGATAATTTCCCTCTTCTCTTCCTTCTTTCCTAAAGATTTCATGGTGGAAAAAATTAAAAATGTATAGGACTAGAGTGACCAGCATTTAATGACTCCGTCTACCCATCCCCAATAGTTATCACCTCGTGGCCAGACTCATTTAATCTACAACCCTTTGTCCCCACATTGTGGGGAAGCAAACCCCAGACATCATGGCATGGTATCTGTAAATATTTTAGTGTGTCTCCCTAGAGAAAAGATCTCTTATGAAAATCATAACCATACTCATCCTAAGATGGCACTGGAAAAGCTTAACCTGATTCCTTAACATCTTCAGCTCTCCTTGACGGGTGACTCACCCAGTGGTCCGAGCCTATTTTCTTTACTAGTTTCAGGGCTGTCCACATGTGAGATGCCTGCCTTGTCTCTCTGCCCCCTTCCCCACCCCAACATGGCCTCTTCCTCCCTCCGCTCCCCCTCTGCTCAGCTGCTTACATTCTGCTGCAGGTACCAACCGTGCCCTTTTATGCAAATCCACGGTAGACGGGCTGCAGGTGACACAGCTGAACGTGGACCACACCACGGAGAACGAGGATGAGCTCTTCCGCCTCTCACAGCTGGGTGAGTGGGGGACATGTGCCAAGGGCTCAGTAGGGGAGGGCGACCCCGTGGCTCACCTTCGCCCTCTTCTGGTGGTCGTGCAGAGAGGGGTGAAGTGGACAGGCTGGAACTTTGGGCTTGGGACCAGCCCGTCTGGGTTGACTCCCAGTTCCACCGCTTACTAGTTGGTGATGTTTGGAACTTACCCAAGTTTTCTATGCCTCAGTTTCCCCATCTGCATATGAGATAATAGTAACACCTACCTCAGGACGTGGTGAGCATCGAAGGAGTTAATTAATGGGTGTGAACTGCTTCCAAGAGTACCTGGATGCGCACTGTTACTGGGGGAGGCTGAGAGGCCACAGAAGCCCTGACATCAGCCACTGCCACAGCAGCTCCCTCCCTTCCCAGGCAGCTGTGCTGGGGGTGCCAGATCTGGTGACTGTGGAGGAGGGGCTCCGAGTGAGGGGGTGTTCTGATGGGGATGGAGACCGAGGACATGGGGGGGACAGTCAGCTGCTTTCCCAGGTGCCTGAAGTGACTTCGTTTCCTGTTCTTTGGGTCGTCAGCACCTTGTTCATGGATGTGTGCATGTCCCCTTCTTTCTGTTCTTTAATATGAACAAGATCTGGGATTGTCGTGTTGTTCTCCCCTGGCAGGTTTGGATGCAGGAAAGATCAAGCAAGTGGGGGTCATCTGTGGGCAGGAGAGTACCAGGCGCATCGGGGATTACAAGGTCAAATACAGCTACACTGACATCGACCTACTCAGGTAGGTGGCTGGCCCAGCTGCCCCCTATCTGAGACAGAAGCAGATTTTAAGACAGAAGATGCAGTTGAGGTAGCTCAGAACCCAAGGAGACTCTTCTTCCTCCTGGAGAGGTTGATATGGCACCTAGACCAGCAGGCCAGGAGTCAGGCTGGCAAGGGGTCAAGTGGAGAGCTAGGCCAAAGCCAAAGGCAGCAACCAGTGCCTAAGGCCTGCAAGAGAGCTGGCCTCTACTGATGGACCCTCGAAGTATTTCCAGACTGTCCAAATACTGTTGCCAGGAGCGTCTGAGCTGCCTGGCATGGATAGGGACAGACCTAAGGCCTGTTAGTTGGTGCCGTCCATGGCTAGGGCTAGGGCAGAGGTGCAGGACAAATCATATAGTTCCCTCCGAAGACACCTCTCTTCTGGCTGCCGCCCAGTGCTCATGGGCAGTGGTAGTAATTGTGGTCCTTTGTTGTGCCAGCCTGTGCACAGCTCTGCACATGCATTCTGTTATGCAGTCTTCACGCAGGCGCTGGGAGCTGGGTACCGTTCCTACCTGAAAGGTATTTTTGTATAAGGAAACTGAGACACGGTGACATTAATTTGCCTACTTGGTGACAGGGCTAGCTGTGAGCTGAGGCAGGACTTGAACCCAGGCAGCCTGAATTCTGATCATGCGTCTTTAACGTTGATCGGGAAATTAGGCTTGTGCATGTGCATAAGGTGTCCATTATGGCATTTAACGTCACAACCAGAGCTATGGATGTATGCCAGAGACCCCGTCACCAGAGGGCAGGCTTCATCACATCTTAGGAAGCGTGAGTTAGAACTCCTTACTCTCACAAGATTTAGGCAGTTGAGTTTGCAACCTTTTGTCTCTAATTTGTGGGATTCTGTTGCTTTATTGGAAAGTACATATGTGGTTTAAAACAGTTCAAACAGTGCCAGGGATATATGTGTGAAGTGTATCTTCCTCTCCAAGCCGAGACTTGTTCCCCAGAAGCTGCTAGTTTTTTGTGTATCTCACCCAAAGTTTCTTTGTGCATGCGTGTAACACCTGTGTGTGTGCTTCTGTGGGGGTGAGCATCCTTTTCAAAACACCCACAAGTGCCAGCATGTGCTTTCCAGTGTCCTGCAGCTCACTTTTCATTAGGTGCCCATGCCTCCCTTCCTGCACACCTGGAAGTTAGGCCGGTGGCAGCCGGTGGTATTCCTGGCGTCAGCTGCTAAGGTTCCAGCGTGTGGCTGCGTCAGCACTCACCTGCGGAGTATTTCCAGACTGTCCAAATACTGTTGCCAGGAGCGTCTAGACTTGCCTGTGTGCATGTGCACGTACAAGAACTTTCTGACGCTTATAGCTCTGGTGGTGCATCAGAAAATGACCCCTGTGCGGATGGAGAGTGTGGGTGTGGTCTGAGTTGGCTTGACACTTGTTTTGGAGGAGACCAAGAGAAGGGGGCTTTTAAAAGTGAACCCCACCCTCCTGCTGTCCCACCCCCACCCCGCCACTGCCCGGGCTCCGTGGACGGGAGATGCAGCGTGGAACCAGAATTTGGCATTTGACCTTTGCCCTCTGACTCCAGCTGCCCACTAGCTTTTCTGGCCCTCAGAACTTGATCTTAGTAGCTCCCCTCAGAAGACAGGTCTGTTTTTCTGGTTTTCTCTTTTCTCTCTTTTCCTCTTGTCAGGTATGCGTTTTATTTCACATGCTGGGGTGGAGTCTTCCCTTAGAATAAATGTCCCTTGGGGGCCATTCCACACCCAGCTCTCCCCTCCACTCTCTTCCCCCAGCACTGCCAAGTCCAAGCCGATCATCGCAGAGCCCGAAATCCACGGCGCACAGCCCCTGGACGGGGTCACCGGCTTCCTGGTGCTGATGTCCGAGGGGCTGTACAAGGCCCTGGAGGCCGCCCATGGGCCCGGGCAGGCCAACCAGGTGAGCTGGGCCCAGGTGCAGCGCAGACCGCCAGCATGTGGGGCGGCGGCTCCCTTGGGGACCCAGCCAGGGCTCTGATTCACTCGTGCCCTCACCGGACATCTTCTCTGGGTTCGGAGCCCTAGAGCACCCATCCCACCCAAAGCTTCGCTCTTTCTGGGCTCGAGGCTTCCCTGGGTAAGCCTGAAGGGCAGCGGTGAGGTGGACGTGAACTTCCATGGGCTGCGTGGCTCTGGAGACTGTGGTGGAAGGGTCCTGGGTGGAGGAGGAGAGTGCAGAAGTGTCACCTGACACACGGAGTGCTGGCCACGGAGTTGTGCTGGCCACGTCCGAGTCCCACTCCACCACTTCCTGCCCTGCCCTCTCTCAGCTGCGACAGTTTACTGTTTGTTCTCGTCTCTAAGATGGGGACAATAACATCCACCTGTGTGGGACTGTGGTGACAGGTGCGACAAACGTAGGCCCTCAGCCAGTGGCAGCTGCTTATTTCTCCTACACCTTGGAGAACATGTCAGACAGTTGTCACTGAAGCAGTCACTTCAGGGGTGACTTTGAGAGGAAGCTGCCTCTACCCGACCTTGGATTGCTGGGTTGGTCAGATAAGTTCAGTTCCTGTTTCTCCTTCCATCTGTGACGATTGTAGGAACGTAACCTTTTCTGCTTCGTCCCTTGATTAAAAAGTATGAAGAGAAAATCTTATATGCTTAACTTCCCCTTGATTCCTGTGTTCAAGGTTTCCACCTATTTTATCATCGCCCCCAGTAGCCTTGGACCCTAGAGGGGGCAGCAGCTCACCGCCACATCCCGTGGGGGCTCACAGAGTTCAGGATCTGGCCTGAGGTGACATAGCTGATCAGTGAGGGAGCTGACCCCACCCTGACTAGCCCCAAGTCATTTCCTGTCACCTGCCCCTGCCTCCTCCCTCTAAGAGACTCTGGCCGGCCAGCACGCGGAAGGGTTTGTGTTTGTGTTTGTGATTTTACCATCAACGTGATCTTTTTCTTTTTCTCTTCTCTGATCTTCACAATAGAATTATACAGTAGCTTCTACTGGGTTCTAGAATACACTGGACAGTGGACTTCACTGAGGGTAGGGACCCTGTTTTCATTCTGTATCCCCATTTTCTGACAAAATTGGCATATTGTTGCCTACAATAAGTTCACTCCCGGAAAGAAGGCCTAATAATCAAGACAATTTATACTGGGCTTTTTGCAGTCCCCAGAGTGCCCTCACGTCCATAGTGTTATTTCATCCTCATAATAACCCAGTGCAGTGGATCCTTCCCCATTTTATTGGTGTGGAAGCCACAATCAGATTGCAAGATCCCATTTTTTTTTAATGAGAAAGTTCCAGAAGGATTATCCTGAAAACCTTGAAAAGCTCAAATTGCAGATGTGGCTGGTGGAGACTTCCTTCACCTGCTTGGCTGGTGACCCCTAAGTGACCCGATTAGGCTCTGGCATCATGGCGCATAGTCCCTGGGACCCCTTGTTGCTCATCAGGTTTTCGTCCCCTTTCCCCCAGGAGATCGCCGCCATGATTGACACCGAGTTCGCCAAACAGACTTCCCTGGACGCAGTGGCCCAGGCTGTGGTGGACCGGGTGAAACGTATCCACAGTGACACCTTTGCCAGTGGTGGGGAGCGTGCCAAGTTCTGCCCGAGGCACGAGGACATGACCCTGCTGGTGAGGAACTTCGGCTACCCGCTGGGCGAAATGAGCCAGCCCGCAGCATCCCCGGCCCCAGGTGAGTGTGGTGCGGAGGGAAGACGCCCCAGGAGGCCAGCGGGGCCCGGTTGGGTGCAGATTGGATGCAGAGTGGCTGAGGCCCGGCCTCACTGCCAGCATTGGAGGTGGAGTCAGGAGGCCTGGCTTTGAGCAGTTCTAATCCGGACTCTGACTTTCAAGGTCTCTGAGCTGCCTTTGTTTGTTTTTCCCTTGTGTCTGTTGAATGAGGAAATGCCGTTTGCCCTGGCCGCCTCTTAAAGACCTGGGTGCAGAGTACTGGCAGAGCCACCAGGCCACACGATAGAGACGAGGGCGCCCACCGGCCAAGAGCCTCCCTGCTCTGTGCCCAGCACTTGGCCCGTGTGTTTCCTGTGGTCCTCATACCAGCCCTCAGGAGGACGACGCCCCCTTTACAGAAAGGGAAACTGGGGGTCTAGAAGGAAGAGACCTGGCGAGGCTAGGCATGTGGACGGAAGGTCCCCGAAGGCTGGCGTGTCCTTGGGCCATGTCGGGCTGGGGGCGGACACTTTACTTCCTGCGTTTTTCGTCCTGGAATCAAGTTGCTGGGGAAGCGACAGGGCGGTTCCTTCTGCAGTCCCTCCCGGCGCCGCTTAGCGTCCCCACATCCCGACGTCCAGAGCTGGGCTGCATTTCCTTTTTCTCTTTTCAGACAAGCCTGAGCTCTCAGGCGTGCCCACGTGGATTTGTTCTCCCGCGGGCACCAGGCTTAGGAGGTTCCCCAGCTCGTTAGTGCAGCCATGTTTTTGTTGGGCCTGCTTCAGCTAGTAGCACACTCATCCTCAGGAGTGAAGCGTCACCCCAGAAAGCCAGGCAGTGACCCTTCCTGGTTCTCCTGCTTTGAACACCAGCAGCGCTGTGTTGCCGAGTGGAGGCCCCTGTCCAGCCTGGAAGTGTCTCCGCCACAGGACCCTCTCTCTCTGTCCCAAGGGGCAGAGGGCCTGCAGCTTGGGGAGCCAGGCCGCCTCTCCTCTTAGCCCTCAGGTGCCGCCCCCATCAGTCCTGTCCCCACCACCCAGCCGCTCCCGTGACCCACCCCTCTCTCCCTCCCATGGCCACAGGAGGACGCGTGTGCCCGGTGTCTGTGCCTTACTCGAGCGCCCAGAGCACCAGCAAGACCAGCGTGACCCTCTCCCTCGTCATGCCCTCGCAGGGCCAGCTGGTCAACGGGGCCCACAGTGCTTCCACCCTGGACGAAGCCACTCCCACCCTCACCAAGTAAGCCGTTGTCCCCAGCCCAGCCACTCAGGCCCGCCCCCTGGGGGTAGCCCCTGTCTGAGCAGGAGTGCCGCAGGGCCCAGTCCTATGGCCGAGTGATCTTGGGTGAGATACTCTGAGGTGCTTGGGGGTCTCGTACCTCTGAGAGCCCCCACCTTCCTTCCTGGGGAGGCCTCCGTAGATGCTGAGGCAGGAAAAGGAAGCCCAACAGATTCCAGCAGCTCACTGAAGCTGGACCTGGGGGCGCCGCAGGTGTCTGGGGCGGAATGGGCGAAGCAGGCCAGGAGGGTCAGGCGGCCAGTGCGACAGCCTGCTGACCATGGTTTCTTTTGGGTCCTGTGTATTTTCATTGAATGGGAAGGTGCTCTTATTCCGTCTTCCCCCGTCTGTAAGCATGTGATGTAGGGCGGCCTTCCTGATGGCAGCCATGCTTGAAGGCCATTGTTTTGCTTGTACTGGCTTGTCAGAGCCAGGCTCTCTGACTAAAAGGTCTGATTTTAGTTTTGAAGTGAGTTCTCTGGTTTAAGGCAGGGGAAGGGAGGAAGCATCAGGGGTCTGGTGCCTGGGGGTGGATTGGGCAGGCCCCTCCTCACTGCAGACCTACCCACAGGTCTGGTGTGTGTTCTGCCCCCTTCGCTTCTGTGGAATGTGCCCCCCACCTCACCACACCGCACGGGGAGGCCAGGATCTGGTCTCCACATTCCAGCCCTGCACAGAACAATAGAGATGCCACACACAGCCCACTCAGGATGTGGCCAACTGGAAGGGTCATAAGGAAGGGAGTGGCTCTGTCTCCCTCTGCCTAGAGGGAGCCTTTCCCTTCCCCGCCCACCTGCGGCTTCTGCTGCCGCCCCTACCATGGGCTGGAGGGGCCCGTCGGGCAGCTGAGCAGTGGCATCCCTGGACCATGGTGTGGGCGGCCTCCCCAGCCCTGCAGGGCTGCCCAGAGGGAGCCACCAGCTGTGTCCACAAAGGCGGAACGTGACAGCAGTGGTCCCAGACCAGGCAGGGGAACCAGCTGTCCTATGCCTCTAAGGCCCTGGGCCCCTAAGCAGCCCCTCCCCTCAGCCTGGATCTGAGCATTAGTTGGGCCTCCCTGTGGGCTGGCCCGGTGCTGGGTGCTGGGCACTGGGCAGTGCTGGAAGTTTGCAGGACCGTGGACTAGCTGGTGATTCCCAGCTGTTAACGTGTCCTGTGAGAGGGAGCTCTGAGAACGTGGGGGACCCATCCCCACCTGGCCAGCGAGAGGGGAAGAAGAAGGGGGTAAGGCAGGTTTTCTGGGAGAAGAGCCCCTGCCCTGTGACCCGTGGGCTGCGGGTCAGGGTGGATTCGGAGGGATTGGCGTGGGTGACTCCAACGCAGAGCTGCTCCGAGCGAGCAGACGGGCCCGGTCCTGCGCAGTGGCCAGTGGCCCTACGTGGTTATCGGGTGCTGGAACTGAATGGTCCATTTTAATTCTAGTTAATTCAAATAACCAGATAGCTAGAGCTTGAGAAATCCATTCGACTTTTCATCTCCTTCTAAGAACATGTGGCTGGGCTGGCACTCGTGGTCACCTTTGTCAGAGAGGCCTGTGCCCTGAGGCAGAGGCCCCTCTGTTCCCAGGCCGGAAGCCAAGGCCCCTGACTGACTGTCTCCCCTTTTGTCCCTGCAGCCAGAGCCCAACCCTGACCTTGCAGTCCACCAACACGCACACTCAGAGCAGCAGCTCCAGCTCGGATGGGGGGCTCTTCCGCTCCCGGCCCCCCCACTCCCTCCCGCCTGGCGAGGATGGCCGCGTAGAGCCGTACGTGGACTTTGCTGAGTTTTACCGCCTCTGGAGCGTGGACCATGGCGAGCAGAGTGTGACGACGGCACCGTAGCCCAGGCCAGGGAGTGCAGCCCTAGCAGGATCTTGCATTGGGGACAAGGGGGCCCACCTTTGGGAAAGGATGGGCTTTTTCCTGCCAGTTACTTATGCCATGGGGGCCAGTGGGTGCCCAGTCCTCAGCCTGCACCACACTGTCACCCCCCAGCTCTTGGTGCTGTAACGAATATTCTCTCAGAGTGCCAGTGCAGACTGGACCCCTTGGGTATACCTTGTCACTGCACAGGGGCTGGAGGCCACTCCCTCAGGCAGCCTCAGGCAGGACCGTCGCCATTTCTCAGGACGAAGGACGTGAGTGTGGGAGCTGGGCCGCCCAGGAAGCCTGCCGTGTGGGGCAGCATGTGAAGAGGCTCTGCTGTGCCCCTGCATGTCACAGGCCGAGTGGCCACTGCTTTCTCAAGGCCACTTCCCTCCAGCCGCCATGTCTCCTGGAATGGCCTGTGACCACTGAGCAGTTGTTCCCTCCTCCTCCAGCCACCAGGGTGGAACCCCGGTTGGCATCTGCACTTGTCCCTGGCCTCCGTCCCTGAGCCCGCCCAGGTGGTTTTCAGTGGTAAACACTGGGCAAGGCCAGGGAGGTGTTGGGGACCTGGGATGGCTGCAGAGGGGCAGGCTGGCCTGGGCCCTGAGTGGAGCCCTCGGTGTGTGCTCTCTGCCTCCTGTTAGCAGAGGGGAAGCAGGCCCAGGAGGTTCCCGACTTGCCCACGTCACCGGTCTGTGGTGAGGCAGAACTTGGACCTTCTGTTGGTCCCCAAAGCTTCTGCGGCCCCCTCCCCAGTTCCTAGCCTCCTGCCCCATGAGGCCCTGGACATCTCACCAGGGACCGGCCGCTCTGCCCAGCTTCCAGTGTGCTTGGTCTCTGGAAAGTCAGAAGCCAGTTCCAAGGCCCCGCTCGCTGTGTGGTCCCGGAATACGGCTCCCTAGGGAGGCACAGCACGAGCCGAGGAAAAGCGCGTCTCGGCACAGTGTCACCCCCTCCACTACGAAGCCATCTCTGTTCTCCGGGTGAACGGATTTAAAATTAGCCACAAAGTCTTGGGAACAAAGGGATTTCTCTCCCAAGAATGTCTCAGTGATGCTGTGTGGTCTCTAGGAATAGAAGCACTTTTTTACCGCAGTAAAGAAATGATAAATGGGGTGTCATCCGTCGTGGTGTTGGTCGTGCTTTTACTCCTGGCTCGTGTGACTCACAGTGGCCCTGGGAGGTAGATGCCACCTCTTGTCCTCCAGCTCCCCAGGCTGGGGGTGGCAGCACCGGGAGGGGAGCTGGCCTCCCGACGGGCCCCGGCACTGCCGCCCTCAGCCTGGGGAGAGCGTGGGGTTGTCTGGCATCCCCCAGGTCCCCGCGGATCTGGAGAGGATGCCGATTCCTGCT